TGATAGAAGGTATCGAGACGATAGAGAGAGATCCAAAGAAAAAGATCCAGGTCCTGACCATGATTGGCAGGATAGAAGGCCACGCGATGATAGAGATGTAGGTCGAGAAAGGGATAAGGATCGTGATCGCGATAGGGAACTTTCTCGAGATTATGAGCGTGGCCATGATCGCGATCGTGATAGAGATCGTGACCGTGATAGGCACAAGGAAGATAGGGACAGGTATTCAGATCATCATAGGTACAGGGACCGTGAACCAGAGCATGAAGATGAGTGGGAAAGGGGGCGATCATCGAGGACTCATAGCAAGTCTAGATTACCACAAGAAGAAGAAAGTCGTTCTAGATCAAGGGATGCTGATTATGGGAAAAGACGGCGGCTTACTTCTGATTAGTTGAATCATTCAACATGCATACTTAAACTATCTAGAGTTTGGCTTTCCATGTTCGTTTGGATTCTCTTTTCAATTATCTGGGCTTGTTAATTCATCAATTGCTCTTTTCCCTTGCCATCTATTGTCTGACTCCAAATTACACCGGTTACTTCTTCCAACAGAAGTATGGCGTGATGTTCTAGAGAAAAAAAGTAGGTCCATACAATTCCTTTTCTTTTCGTTTATTTTTTAATCTAAATTCTGGCAAATTTGTATGTCTCTTTTTGGTATCTATGGTCTTTTAATATGGACGTACTAATAGCTAATGAACTTGTTTGAAATTGGTTTCTTTAAAACTGGTTCTATTTACTCTATTCATGCTAATATGTGTTACAGTAGCAGTACTGTAGATTTTTGGTTCTTGGAACTAATATCAGTGGTAATATTTTCACTATATGCCTTGTGTTAGCCACATGAATTTTGAAAATTTTGACAATTATTTAGTTAAGCATCTGCTAATGCTATGGTAAGAACGGTGTTACTCTCATGATACTCTAGCCTCAGAATTTTATTGTTTTTCGTAGGGGATTGATTTTGTCATTCTTTTTAAATTAGCTTATCCATCTGTATCACCTCTATCTGTGGAAAGGTTGGAGATTTTCACAATTTAAGTAAAACATATTTATCTGTTTCTTTTAGGCGTCTGTCCAATTGAATTCATCCATCTGAATTGCTGTTTTATTACGTATATTCTTCTTTCCTTGTGCTGACATACTGATATGAACTGATATCGCTTTCTTGCATTAACATTGTTGCTGATGGAAGCATCCCTTGTTTTCCTTTGTTTCGTACCTTTTAACGACATCAGGTACTGAGGATTTGATTGGGTGGTGCGACAGTTGGCTTGGAGATGGCAGAGAGAGCCGCCCTTGAACTTCTTTGCAGAGAACCAACCCCCAGGCATGGCAGCAGCTATTTGCTCTATTAATTTGATAGTGAAACTCTTGGTTTAAACTTCTCAAGTTTCTTTTGAAATCATGTTTCTTGACTTGGCACACTTGATGATGATGAAACTGATGTTGTTGATGTAATGGCTAAACTATTGCTGAAGTCCCAACATGTCTTGATGTTTTTTGACATGTAATGGCTTACTATGTTGTTAGAGTATCTTAGCCTGGAGGATGTTGTGATGTGAGTTATTCTGTTTTATGAGCTGTTGTATCATATGTTCACACCTCTTTTCAATTTTTTTTCTTTTTGATACCGCACCTCCGCCGTCCGTTCAATTGTGAAGATGTAGATATAGATGTAGGGCTAACAATTCTTTTAAAGCTGTTGCTCTAACCTTGAGAGGTTGTTTGTACTCAACTCAATACCCTTGTATTGTATGTATGTACTTATTGACTAGATGGATATCAATCAGTACATGTTTCATATTTTGTTGTTTTCTGTTACTTTTGGCCATATCTTTGTCTGTTTTAGCAGCTCTTGAGAAGTTGGTTCCATCTTCCATGCTTAATGGAAATTGTTCAATGGGACACTTTAGATGTAATGAGAAACTCTTTGTAAATGAAGTGAAGATGTGTAATGGCAATTTAAAATTTTCTTTATTTTCATCTCGACGTTAAGAAGTTTTATAAACAGGTCTTTTATTTTGATAGCGTGGCCTTTGAAAGTTGAATTCATTCTTTGTGTTTTCTTTCCGTTCACTCGTATTTCTTTTGTTTCATTGATTTTGCTCAAATTCTCATTTTCTTCCGTGAAAAGGGGAAGGAGATTGTTTTCCATCTCTTCTTCATTCTACCTCTCTTTTGTCTATGAAATGCATTCAAATGAATCACTTTCTAAAATCAAGGTGTAGGTTGAATGGAAGTTTAGATGTTACCGGTCTTGTTTGGGTGTTGCTTTTTAAACTAGTTTTCTGTTTCAGAATAATATTTTATTTTATTTTATTTTTATTTTTTTAATTTCTTGAAGCGTATAGTTTTAAAAATTATGAGTTCGTTACTGGTGTCTTTGCTTTTAGAATGTTGTGATGTTGGGTTTTATTGATATCAGTCCTTTAAGGATTGTACAGTGAGATGTCAATACGAGTTTAATTCAGTGGTAATTGACATCTGTCTCCGATCAAAATATCATGAGTTTAAATCTCTCATCTCATTTAATACTAAAGAAAAATATATATATATATATATATATATATAGTCTCATATTTGTTTGATGTTTGTTGTTTGTTTTTCATCAAAACTGCCTCGCAGTTGAAGTGGTTCTTATTGTTGTATGATCAAAATTTCAGTTTATTGAACTATAAGCTGTGATTTCGAGGATCTAATTGCAATAATTTAGTAGATTAAGGTCATGTTTACTTCCGAATGAATTTTTTCATTCCTTTTAATGGTGTTTACCAAATTGTAAGAATGGAATCAAACCATGAGACCCACCATAAATTTGGGAATCTCATTCTTAAAAATGGACAATAACATTCTTCTCAAACACCCTAATGAATCACATTTCTTATTCCGTGAGCCTCACACATTTATTAGAGCTACTTTACTACTTTTATCATTTCTCTTTATTAGAGCTACTTTACTACTTTTATCATTTCTCTTTTTTTATTAATGATACCCATAACTTTATTAATTATTTCTTTTTCATTTCTACTATTAATGTTTTTTTTATATAATTTTTATTGGTTGGTATGATTTTATTATAAAATATTATAAATTTATACTTAATTTAAAAAATTTTTACTTTGCTATTATTAATTAATATCCATAGATTTTTTTAAATAGATTTTATTGTTATTGAATATTAGAATATTAAAATTTAATAATTTTATATTAAATTCTAATAAAAAAAATATTTTAGTTGATGTAATTTTATTTTAATATTATTAATATTTGATAAATTGTTATAATTAAAAATATTTACTATAAATCATATAGTAATAAAATTAATTAAAATTTATTGTTATTGTAATATAAAAATTAGCAAAATAATGTATTTATAATTAACTAGCAAGTAAAAAGGGTAAACTAATAATGGTTATATATCCGATTTCGATTCCGATTTTGATTCCAAACAGTTTCAGCAAACGACATCGAAGGAATTCTGATTCTGATTCCATAAAATTTCTGGTAAACAACATCCGACCCATTAAAAAGTACTTAATCTCCTACGAAGTGTCATTGTCAACACGACTCGTATAAACATATATGACATGGGACGATTAGTTAACAATTTTTTAGAAAAGAATAGTTATTGAATTTAAAATCACATTTTTGTTGATGAAGTTTAAATAACACTATCACAGCTAATATCATAGTTTTCAATTTACAAAAATTTTAAATGATAAGGGGTGATTGCTAAGATAACAACTTCAGACAGTTAATTTAAAAAATTTACTATCGTGTGAAGATATAATTGTAACAATCTTATAATATAATCGAAATTATAACCCACGATGTTATAGTAACAAGATTCAATTTTCTTTTTTATATATTAAAGTTTTAGATTTATTTTTGTATTTTTCATATTTAATATATATTAACTAATTATCACAAGCGCACCAGTGGTAGAACAGTACCCTGCCACGGTACAGACCCGGGTTCGATTCCCGGCTGGTGCATTTTCCTTATTTTTCCTCCTTATTTTTCCTCCTTTTTTTTGTCTTTCCCATTTTGCGTTCGCTTCCTTCCAAGAAAATGAGGTGGAATTGATGAAATAATTTACGGATGAAACTGTTTAGTGCCAAAAAATAATAATAATAATAAATAAATCCCAATTTAATGAAAAACCAAAGGTTCTTCGATGGAGAAAAAAGAAAAAAGAACACAATTTTTTTTTGATATTCTTGCTTCCTTGAATGAGAATTGGTCTTCCCAATCTACGAAAACACCGATTGGAGGTTTTAAATAAGTCAAGTTGGTTGGGCTTGATTTTGATAATATTAAAAAGTCTTCGAGAATCTTTCTAGGCTGGTAGGACGACTTCTGCTTGTCAATGTCTTTAGCCACCTTATCCATACCTCCAACTTGGTCTGGATCCAGTGGTTCGTAGAATTCAGGACCTAACAATGGTTGTTCGACCAATAAGATTGGAGAGCGGGGACTAATAGTGGGGATTGACGTATTTCAGTTAAAAATCAGTGTCCGAACTAGTTTGCACACACCTAACCATTAATTCTTAGGTAGGTGCTTGTAATGGAATTTGAATCAATTCTCTCTCAATTTATCCTAACCTATTTGAACTAATGAAACACTCATAATAGTTATATAATTTACAATAAATTAAAGTAGTAAAGAAAATTGTTCATACTACTATAATATTATAAATTTTTATAAATATTGTCTTTATCGTCGTTTAGTTACATGTGTCAGCAATAAAAATTGAAAATTCGTATACTAAGATGTATGGATACTACACTAATTCAGGTCAAATATGTTATTATCGTTCGCGATGTGAGGTCCAATAACATTAAAAAATTATTTGTAAAGAAAATGTTGCAGTGTGAACGGAATGAAACATAGTAAATTTTTTAAATAAATACTAAATAAAAGGGACAATCGGGCTAAATAGCCTTTTTTTAAAGGCCCATTATGAAATGTGCATTTGCTGACATCAATTTTGTGTGAAAATACGTATTTACCGTCTTCATTTTTTCTCCAATTTATTACTTTCTCATCCATTTCTCTCCTCTCTTTCCTCCCTCCTATCATTAAAAATTCTCTCTTTCTTGAAAAATTCAACCAACTCTCTCTCTCTTATTTACTCACCGTAAAAAAAAACCCTAAATATTTATTGTTATCTTCCTCCTTATCACTTCTAAGCCGCCTCTTCCCATTCTCATTCTTTTTTTTCACCTTCTCTGAAAAAACAAGCAACAAGCTCCATTTATGATTTTTTTCCAATGAGAGACATACGTCGAGAGCGAGAGCGAGAGGAGTGAGAGTGAGACATCATGAGCGATAGCCTTTTTTTGTGTATTCTATTTTTTTTTTTATGTGGGGGTTTGTGTGAACTTTTTGTTCTTGGTGTTCTTTGTTGAGTTTTTACCGCTCTTTTAGGTGTGACCCGTTCTTTTGTGTGTTGTGTATTTGTTATTTTGTTTTTTGAATTTTGAATTTTAAGCTCCAACAATGAAGTCAAGCAAGATTGAGAGGAGATGAATGAAAAATAAGAAAGAGAGGGGAGAGAGAAAAGTGCATGCCTTCAAAATGAAAACAAAAAAATCAAAGGAAAACAAAAAAATGGAATGGGATGTGGTGTAGAAAAAAATGGAAGAAAGAGATTAGTGAAAAAAAATCAAATGAGAGAGAGACGAAAAGGATATGCACAGTAGAGAAAATGAGACAATGGGTAACTTGTAATTTCACGCCAAAAGGACGTAAGTAAATTGTTAAAAAAAACATAAAATTTGAAGTTTGTGATATATCTAGTCTTTGAAAAAAGCTATTCAATCCAATTTTCCAAATAAAAGGAGCACTTGCGTATATAGTAAAATAAGCTCAAAACAATAGTATTCTAAATTTGTAAATAACGAAACTCGGCCCAAAAAAATCATTCATGAGAAAAATTAAAATAGCTTTGAAATGTCTATTAGTGTTAGCCTATATCACTTGTTTATGTTAACTAATTCGATAGTAAAAATAGAATTTTACATAAAAAAATATTTAAATGTACAACTTTGGCATAATTCAATACAAATATATCTTCCATAAAAGAAGATTAGTGAAGTTAAAAAGACGATAATGGATCATAGTTACACGACCAATTGAATCACACAAATCTACGTATGTTTTCTTAGTACAATATATATCGTTAGATGATTCGAACTTACGAACTACCGTTGGACATACCTTAACTTGTTTAGCTATGTTAAGGTTTTGGGGTCAAAAACTAATGAAAACATTCTTTCCAATTTTTTGAGTACAAACATGTAGGAGGGGAGATTAAACTCACGGACTGGTCGGGAATAGATGCCAATTAGCTTGGGATAAAACATTCTTACGAGTTACCACCAAGAACGTTTACTTTTTAAAAAATTTTCAAACAGTTACAAATACTCATAGTGTCATATCAGAAACAAATTAAAAGAACAAAAACAGTTTAAAAAAGAATGAACAATATCAAATTACAGATTGCTGAAGCGGACATCGTCGATTGAACTTCTCGGATTTTGCACATGAATCTGATCCTTCAACTGCAAACAGTGAAAAATCTCGATTTAAACCTCTGGAAATATCGATCTCAATCAAGTTCTCTTCCTCATCGATCTCTTCCAACAGCTCCACAAACCCTCGCTGTCTCACAACAGAATCCGGCAACAAATCAGGCAAACACGTCTCCAGATTTCGAACTCCTCCTAATCCGTTCATCGAATCCGTTCGAATCGCGTTCGAGTTCGGAAGAAGGGCGATTTCGATCAAGCTATCGTCGTCTTCCGAACTCAAATCCTCCGCGCACGGCAGATTCCGCGCCAGTTCGTCCAGACACATCCAGAGATCGGAATCGAAGTCTCCACTTCCGAATCCGCCGCCATTGCTGCTACTCTCGTCGCCGTCGGAAGAAAGCTCTTCGCTCGGCCGGAGAACTCCGATTAGAGGCGGATTCAGGGCGGAAGATCGATTGGAATCGAAGTCTCCACTTCCTAATCGGCCGCCATTACTGCTACTACTCTCATCGCCGTTGGAAGAAAGCTCTTCGCTCGGCCGGAGAACTCCGATTAGAGGCGGATTGTGGCCGGAAGATCGATTGGAATTGGAATCGGATTTGGATTTCTTGGTGAGGAAGAGAGTGGAAGGGATGAGAAGAAGAAGCGTGAGGAATGAAGGGGAGAATCGGAGAGTGAGGAAGAAAATGGAGGCGAGAAAAGTTGAAGCGAGGGCGAGATTGAGGCGAGACGATGATGGGCGGTGAGTGAAATTCTCCATTGTCGGAGGAAGAGAAAGGTTGAAGAAGAAGAAGAAGAAGAGTTGGAAAGTGAAATGAAACCCATGTGGTCTTGTGTTGGCTTTTGCTTTCTCGATTTTCACAAACAAAACCCCGTGATAAAAGCTAGTGGGTGTTTTAGGGTAAAAGGATTACGTTCGAGAACCAGCCGACCTGACTATAGTTTAATTGGTTTAGGACAGTGTAATTGAATTACATCCTCATATCCAGGTATTGTTGAATTAGAAAAAGATTTATGGGATAATAGCCTCCGCTCAAACAAGGAAGAGTTTGTGATGGAGGAACTTACCTTGATTACTACTTAGAGAACATGCTAACCGGCAGAAAATCCTTGACGAAATGACGATAATACCAATCTCCTTCTATAAAAGTTGGAGTTCAACATTCAAAAGGTACTCAATCTCTTGCATCTCACTTAAGCCTAATTTGATATCAAGTCATAGTTATCGCTAACTTAAACTTTAAAGTGTACATGATCAAGCACAATACAAATGCAAGTTTTTGTTGGTCGTAGATGCCTGGAGAGACAATCAGAGCCCACGTGACATGTTACCTTAATCAGAAATGTACATCAACCAAAATTATAATTTAATTGGTTGAGATATTAGGTAACTCTTTTAAAAAAGATATTGTAATTCGAAGAAAAAATTTATTGTATTACAGCACAAAAGAGATTCTGCATGAAATTAAATACTATATCATTCTAGTACAACAAACATGGGGTGGATAACAAACCTTAGACCTTAGGAAAATAATCGTATCTTACTTACTAAGTTATGCTCGAATTGATAAGATGTGTTTGACTTTGAATGAAAGAGATAATACTAATATACGGAGTGGTAGAAATTCCTATTGACTATATGATGTGTTGTCTTTCCATAGTTTGTTTCTACTGCATTTAAACGCTAAATTTTTTAGCTACTAAAAAGACACCACCTCATAAATTCAACCCAAGTTCTTACTCACCAACATGTAGACAAATATTTTCCAAATTGAAGGAGTAAATATTATTATGGTATTAAAAAACTTTATATAGTTTGAATCAATAATACTCAAAATAGTAGGTAGATACGAAATTTTTCTAGTTCGAGAGTAGTAGGGATAATTCTCCATACTACTATTTATTGTAACAAGTCATATGAGTAACATTTTTTTATAGTACAACATGTGGGGGTGGGGTCGAACTCATAACCTCTTGATTGGAGATATATGTCAATTATCGTTGAGTTATGTTCGCTTCGACAATAACATTTAAAAATATTGTGAAATCATTTCAAAATTGTTTATCATATAAATTTTCGGAAGTATGATAAAAATCGAGTTGTACCAAAACAAAAAAAAAGCTGAGTAAGGTTACCACATACATATTGAAAATACAATGAATACTAATATGTTAAACTATAAATTTTAGGTTAAAAGTATTATTTTAATCTTTGTATTTTCATCTTTGATTTATCTTAGTCTCTGTATGAACCAAAGTTTTGAAATATACGTTTTTGTCTCTATACTTTTAAAAATGATCATTTTGGTCCTTTTATACTATTTTTATTCTCATTTTGTCTATCACAATTTCAACCTTTTTTTTGTGTAGAATTTGTGTTAAAATTTTATAAATATGAACTAAAATTATAATTTTTTTCAAAATACAGGAATCAAAATGAACATTTTAAAAGTACATTAACTAAAATGAATCAAAGTTAAAAGTATAGAGATCAAAATGAATATTTTGAAAGTACAGGAACCAAAATGAATCAAGGTCGAAAATACATGTACTAAAATAATATTTTAACATAAATTTTATTTCATAGACACAAAACATTAATGTTTATTCAGAACTTAAACTTTAATTAAATGTCTAGCTTTTAAATTATATTCTATTTAGTCTTTCTTTTAACTGAAATAAAATCTTGACTAATTGAATTCTTTTTCCCTATATCATTGGTACCATTAGTAAAAATTTGATGTGACAGGTGGATTATCAACCACTTAAAGTAGAAGATATATTATTTTGTTATTCTTTTTTATTATTTATTTAACTATTTACCACAAATGTTTATCTAATATGCATACTACACATCAACACTCTATTAACGGTATTATGGATAAAATAATTCAATATATTTTAGAAATTTGGTTACAAGACTTTGGAGTATCAGCCATCGTAAAAATATAAAATATCATTAAACTATGAAAAATAAGCGAGTATATATGTCAGATATTTTCATTTTCGTTTTTATTCATAAAAAAATTAGAAGTATAATGACCAAAATAATAATATTAATTCTGACCATTAAAATAAAATAAATTTAACTAGAACTTTGTCACAGCAGTAATTGAAATATATTTCACCATTTAAAGATTAAAACTTAAAACTTAGAAACATTACCTTTTATTTATGCATTATGTTGTTTTGTTATAAAGTTTTTATAAACATTTTCAAAATTTAGGTGAAATTTTAAAAATCGAAAGAAGTTTTCAAAAAGCTTGTTATTATTTTTTAAATTTAACTAAAAATTCAAAAATATTTTTAAGAGACATGAAAACTTATGAATGAAATAGTAAAAAAACCAGCATAAAAAGATAAAATAAAAAACGATAGAATTATCAAACCCTATCTTGGATCAAAATTAAAGTGTTCTTAGTTAAATTCTATAAAATAGTAAAAGAAAGGCCAATTTATGAGTTCATTTAATGACTTTTTTTTTCCTTTTTTTGAGGAAGCATTAATGACCCATTTGTTGCTGTCTGAAATTGAAACCAAATTGATTTCAATCCATTGAAAGAAGCCCATTTCTTTCCTAAAGATTTCATTTCAATCTCCATTTTTGTCAGTCACATCTCATGGACCATGCTCTTGCTGTCCTTCCCTTTAAAATTTAATCCCATGTCTTAATTTTAAATTCAATTTCATCTCTATGCTTTTGAAAAAAAAAAGTTATTATTTTTACCCTTTAATTTTCCTTAAACTTGAATGGGGTCTTTATGGTTTAAAATGATAAACACGCTACACAATCTTAACAAATAAAGATATCTAAATATTTTATGTAGAGTAATGACTACTCCTATAGTCATTCAGTGATTAAAAACACGTCATCCTCTTTGTTGATGGTAAGAACCTCTCATCGGTTTTGTCTGTCATGCACCTTGATCATGTCCGGGTTCATTCGGGCATTTACCCAAACTAACTATTATTTTTATGAATGACTAATAACTCGATCATCACATTATACCAAGATCGCACTACAAAATGAGCTATTCTAATCTATCGATGTACACTTCGAGAACAAAACAATTAGTTTGTTGGACCTAGGCTCCTAGCATGTTATCAAATTGCGAATTTGAGTGGTTAATCCCAATCAATTCCAGTGAGGTCCATAACCAATGTGGTTTTTTTTAGAAAAAAAAAAAAGAAGAGGAAGAAACATAACGAATATAATTGAAGATATCAAAAACAAGATGCCAACGATTTTTCAATTACTCCTAAAATTAAACCAGAAGTGAAAAGAATAAAAAAAACAAAGAATCATATTAGGAAGAAGAACCAATACTCACATGCACCACCAATCGACGCGCCACGTGTCCTCTCCATCAGATCTCGGTCCAAGCGAAAAGACGAAAACACCCCCGACATCGATAACAACATCCCCGCCACCGACCACGCACGAACCGGGGGCAATTTCGGGGACATAAAAAAGTGGGAAGCTCGAAAGAAGCAATTTTGATACTCTCCCAGGTTCATTTTGGGGATTTAATACAAACTCTGAATCATTTGTTAATCGAAATTGCAATTCAACTTCGCGTTTTCCTTGATTATCGGCGAGAGGGAAACCCCTTGTTTTTTTTTTATTTTTATAATTTATATATCTGTGTTTTGAATTTGGAGTTTCGTCGGGAATCGTGTTGGGTCGTGGTGGTGTTCAATCGTGTTTTTTTTTCTGGGCTTTAGCGCCCTGTGGCCACTGAAATCGATGATAGTCAGTATTCGATGGACCCGTCGTCAGTTCAGAAGCCTCCTCCAGTCGAAGAAGATGAGTGGGGTAATGTTTCAATTTCTTTTCCCGCTTCTTTGATGTCTATTGGCTGTGGAATTTGTTTCTTTGGATTGAAAATTTTGGAATCTGTATCGGGGTTTTGGAATGTGGTTATGAACCCTAGTTTGGAACGGTCTGCTTTTGTTTCTGTCTGTATATCGATCTGTTAATTTTGACGTAATGTTGCTGCTTCTTTGTTAATCTGTACTGGAAGTTCATCGTGTTTTGTTTTCTGGGTTTGCTGGTTTGTAGTTGCGGAAAATTTGTTTCCCCTGTTTTCGAGGCTTTGTTTATCGGTGCCCAACTTTTCAGAATATGGAAATTTTGAGGCTCGGTTGAGTGAAATCTAAGGAGTTGCCTTTTGGAGAAATAGGTGTGATTGTGATGATTACAAATTGAAGTACATTGAAAGTCGAGCCAATTTTTGACATAAAAGTTTTAGATTCATAAGTGGTAAATCAATACCCTATTCATAACCGAGCTAGAAAAATGTCCAGTAGCCAGCCCGTGGATCACCCAAAACACAACCAACAAACTTTATAGTCCCAAACTACAGATAAATTCAAGCCCACACGAAGTCAAGCAGCCAAAAGAATGCTCAAGCTGAGCACAAAAGTAGTCTAGCTCAGCTACAAGCCTACAACTACAAGAAAGCCCACCTATAAACGTATTTTGAGGACACAACTTAACTATTAAAGAGTGCTTAAAGAGTATTAATGTTGCTGTTTGTTCTCTAAGGCTAAAGTTGATCACTTAGCTACTAAGTACACGAGAATGATTGCTAACCAATATTATGTTCTTTGCTGTCTGCAGTGGTTTCCTACGCGGAAAATGATGAATAGCTCTTTTTGATATCCTTGTTAGTTGCTTCATAGAATGTGTAGATTGGTATCTAGTTTCTAGTTTAAAGGCTAAGGGTGTAGTGTTTTTATTCATATTTAGGAGATGAGGCATTTGTGTAGACGCTAGCTTGGAAATGGTAAACATTATAATAGCATTAGATTCTAATTTCTAACAATTTTTTTAGCTGAGAAATAATTTTCTAGGTGATTTGAACTTACAAAAGAGACAAGGGAGATTACAGAAAGTTCTTCTCATTGACCAAAAGCATACGCATAGCAAGAAAGAGCTACAAAAGATAGAGAATCTAAGAATTGATAAAAGGACTTCTCGTTGGTGTTTCTTTCAACCACAAAATTAAAAACAAAAAATTCCCCGGCGAATTGAAGCTGAAGGATTTCCTTTTCTCTTTTGAAAGAGTGCCCCATGATGTTCTTTGGCAGAAATGCTTGTGTTCATAGGGAGGGGCCACATACCAATGAAAAGTAGAGAGAATACAATTCCAAAAATTTCCAGGAAGAGATGCTGTTGTGACCCTGATTCTTTCTTGCTTAGAAAACGCAATCCCGAGGATATGCTGTTTTTAATTCTTGTCATGGGGATTAGCTCTCATCAGAAGAACTCAACCTTTTTTTGGATATTTGTCATGCCAAATGACTTAGTAGGTTGGGAGCTCCCCACTTTATCTTTATTTGCTAGATCAACGAAGTGTGAGTGAACAATAAACTGCCAAGTTGAGCTACAGCTATGGCAATTGATCCGTGCAATCGATTGGCTGAATACCAGATAAGGAGCGTGTTAGGGACGCCCATTCAAGAATTTCATCATCCTTAAATGTTTCTTCGTATGCCTAGGTTTCATGAGCTGGTTGTCCACAAGTCCAACAATGAAGTTTTTCAGGTAGACAAAGAGAAGAGACTCAGGTAAACCACGGGTAAATGGGCGTTGCCTGTCCAAAAATCCTCCCAAAAGTACGCAGATGAACCATGGCCAATAATCAATTTGATTCTAAAATGAATAAGATATGTACCCTGGGGCTTGATAATGAAGGAGATTCTAACATATCTGTTGTTCTTTGGCGTTCGTTGTTTTTATGTTTTAGTTCCTTAAAACGCCCGGATGTTATATTGATCTTTGACTATAACTATATGCACTAATGAATCTTTTTCAACAGCCAAGACTAGACATTCCCTTACTTTATGAATAGTTCTATTGTTGTGGGGGTACTATAGTAGATGAGATGTTCATGACCAGGTTACTATCATTTCTTTTTCTGCCTCAGCACTAAGCTAACTTTTTTCTTTTTCGAGAATGATTTCCCTCAAAAGAATTTTAATCCTTCTTTGTTGAATGACAGCTCCAACTAAGAATATACCTCTGTTTATCTTCCTCTTTTTTGTTTTTGTTTGTAAAAAAAATAGATTTTTCTTTTTTGTTTACTATGGAGAAGAAAAATCCAAATATCATTACACGAATACTTTTTCAACAGCTTCCAAGTGCTCGCTTGATACGATACCGATATGACAGACAATGAATGGATACTAGAGTATCCGTACTTCCTTAGTACCAAAATTTTTTTCCAAAACATTACACAGGAAAGATGTGGTTGCACTGTCTTCCAAAACATTACACAGGAAAGATGTAGTTGCACTGACAGTGCGTAGTAAACTTTTGCAACAGACACTGATGGGTTCGTGATTCCCAGCTTGGGAATAGAGGAGACAGATCAAACTAAAGTTGGCTCTCCAGAAGTAGAAATTTATGAACCTCCTCCAAAGGTAACCCACTCTTTCGTTAATATAAATGTCAGAGAAAAAAAATCAATTTGAAAATTGGCCTTGGAATTAGAGGATAAACTGTTTTGCCACTTGCTAGTATAAATATCCTATGGAATTCTCTAAATATTGTAGAGTCGGGTGGTGGTGGTGTTTGTCTCGGTAGCTATGTTCTTTGCTTTCTATGGTTCATATTTATGATTCTATTGATCAGGCTAAGGAAGAGACGACGATCTATCTTGGCCCACATGGTGCACCACCATCACAGTCGAAACAAGATTTGAATCTCACCAATCGTAAGCAGCGGTTAAAGCAGAAACTGAAGGAAGCAGATCGTAGGACCACGACGGGCCGGGAGAATAAGTTGGAGAATTTGAGAGAGCTTGTAGGTGGTGGAAAATCGAGCACCAACATGGCAAAAGGATCTTCGAGGGACTGGCTTGACCCACATTGCCATGAGGCTCAGTTTGAGAAGTAATGTCCACAGAGATCAAAGTAATTTATAAGACAACTTAAGAAAATTAGCATAGTTTTTTTCACGAGTCTATAACTGTCGTTTCGAGACTAATATTGCCTTTTCTCTGTATTTTTGAAACTTAATGAACGGAATTTATAACTATAATAAATTTTGTACTGGAACTATTTTGTTGACTAATCATTGAATGTTTTAATCTCCCCAACAACAATGCCTCAATCTAACAAAACTGAATCACTAGATGAATTACTCTCATCAACACCCTCCTCGAATTTGAATGTAGTGTGTTATGACTCGAACGAACCTCCATGTTCTTTAACCCGACATTTTGAGGCTCGCTCGCAAGTCACGGGCCTATCATGTCACCTGGATTCTATAAATTCTATCATGTCACCTGGATTCTATAAATTCTAATCCAGTAGCCTTGGGCGTCAAATCGTATTGACTCAGATACTCTGCACTGAAAAACTTGCTGAGATGCCTCATTCCACTGTCGCACAGAATCGTGACAATGGTTTTACCAGGGCCTATTGACTGTGCCACTTTCACAGCTCCTACACAATTCATGGCCGAAGAGCTCCCAAGAAAGAGCCCATCATTCTTCAACAGATATCTGATATATTACATTGCAAGAAGAATGATTAGTTGTGGCTCGAATCAAAGCATAAACATCGTTATGTTTTTTTTTTTTTAGTACAGCATGTGGGGTGGGAGATTGAACTCACAACCTCTTAGTTGGAGGTATATGCCAATAACCGCTGAGCTATACTCGCTTTGGCATAAACATCGTTATGTTGTCGTTTTAAGGTGAATAAAAATGTGCGAGAGCAGACAGCACCATTATGAGTCAACAGCTTTAATCCAAAATACTGAGAGAGAGATGAAAACATCAAGAAATGAGTTCTACAATGGCCACTAACCTTGACATTTCAACGGCTTCCCGGTCTGTTCCACGAAATGCACTGTCGAGTTTTGCCATCAAAAAGTTCTGCGTTAATCTGTTGATTCCAATTCCTTCAGTTATTGTGTCAAAAGGGTTCTTTAACCTTCGTCCTTCAGCCTCTTCTTTAGTGTACATAACTCCTCTTGTCACCTTGTTAAACAGGCCAGAACCAGGAGGATCTATGAGGAAACACCTGACATTTGGATTCTTCTCCTGCTTGAACAAGTAGAAAAGAACTTACACCATGGCTTCTGGCAAAATATAAAGCAAAGATTTGAAAGGATAAGGAATGCATATCTTAGTGTTCTCGTTCTGAAGATTTTTGTAACTGTTGGCTTGTTGCAAATCTTTGCTAATTGGAAGTCTTACTTTTAATCCTCTTTTGATAATGAATTTTAATAGGATAAGAATACAGTGTGTACCTGGAGAAACCTGGAAACACCAGCCACTGTGCCACCAGTTCCTGCAGCTGCAACAAATGCATCTACATGCCCACCAGTTTGTTCCCAAATCTCCGGTCCCGTACCCTCATAGTGGGCTCGATAATTTGCCAGGTTTTCAAATTGATCAGCAAAGAAACCACCTTTGCAATTACTTGAGCAAGATGAATCTTGGGTTTCTCCCTCATACATGTGACCATTGATTTGTTCCCGGCCTTTCACACATGATTGCTCTTCTTTTTTATGCTTCAAAGCTAGCTCATTGGCTTCTGCAGCTCTCCTCCTAGCAATGTTAACAAAGTGATCTCTGTGCGTAATCGACACCGGTCTTACCCTTTCAACATATGCTCCCAGTGCTTCAAGTATTTGAGACTGGTAAACAAGAAACAAGAATTAGTATTAAGTCCTGGAAACAAAGAACACCAGGACTCCTGAGTTTATGCAACTGCCATGGAGTATTAATGTAATGGTTCGTCGCCCACATCCAAAAATTCAGAATGTGCATACCTTCTCAATAGCAGCATCATCTGGAATAACCACATGGCACTTGCAACCATAAGCAGGAGCAACTGTAGCAAGACTTATGGCAGTGCTTCCAGCACTTCCCTCTGTAACTACACCACCCTCAACTAGCTTACCAGATTCTAAGGCCTACAAGAATAACCAAAAGCAACCTCTGAATCCTGACATTTTTAATAGATATATATGTGTGCATACACAGACACATTTTCTGTTAATATAGGCAGAAATTTAGTAGATGAAACACTATTAAAAAATATTTGATCCCAAGGCTTGTTTTTCCACATCTTAGCCATGCTCACTCGGGAGTACAATGCAATCGGCAGAAAAGCGTCTCTCCAATGCTAAAGCAGTCTCATTATTTAATTAAAGAGCACTGATAAATGGAAAGATTGTTAACCGAAACTCTCCTATTGCTTATGTTAAGTGCACAGTGTCTTCATAAAAGGAAAAAAAATCAATCCTTGACCCATTCTAATTCGGAACGAACCTATGAAACATTATTCGAGGGAGAAAAAGAAAAAGAAAAAGGATTTATCATTAAACTTGACTTGGAGAGAGTCAATGATAGAAAGGATTGGAAGTTTTTTCTTGTGCTTAGGAAAGGGGATTTGGGGAAAGGTGGATAAATTGAATGGTTGCATCCGGGAATTTAAGACAAGGTGACCCCTCTCACCCTTCTTATTCCTTCTTATTGGGGTTGTGCTAAGTGGTCTAGTTAAAAAATAAGTGATGGATATGCCAAGGTTCATTTCTCACATTTGCAATTTGTGGATGATATTGTAGTTTTGAAAGATGAGGAAACCTATACCTAAAATTAACCTAAACAATAGCTGCAATAATTCGGTATCCCCTGTTCATTCATCAGAAATCAAGAAGCGGCATCAGGAAAAAATGAACTTACCTCTTCAATGATCTTAACTGCAACTCTGTCTTTCACACTTCCACCCGGATTCAAGAACTCGCACTTCCCAAGAATCTGAAACCCCAAAACCACAACCAATAAAAGACGATATAAGAAATCAGAAAACGGAAGAAAAACTTCAGGCGATCAAAGGGATTCATTGGAGAGTGAGAGAGATGAATGGAACTCGCCTCACAACCGGTGGCTTCAGAGAGGCTGTTAATCCGTATCAAAGGGGTATTGCCAATGGCGTCGACCAGCCCATTTCTTGGAGTTGTCTTCGATGCAATTGCAGAGGAGGGCTTTGTCTTCCTCTTGCTGGAAGAATTCTTCGAGTGGTGCTTACCGAGGAAGTAAGAGAAGAGGACCATGGAAACAGAGATGGCCGCGAGAATGGCGCCTGTGGCTCGAACAGTCACAGGCGCCATGGAAATCGAAATGGAGCAGAAGGAGGAACGACGGCGGAGTCCGGAGTGGCGTCTATTGGTTGTTCCCGTTTTCTTTTGCCGACCTTACTTCCCAAATCATATTTGATGTTTCTTCTTTTCTTGGTAACTTTGTTTATTTTTATTTTTATTATTTTTTAATCTTTTTAAGGGAAAAAAATACACTTTTTTTTTAAATAGAAAAATATATACATACACAATTTCGGTATTGGAGCAGAATTTGGAGTATGTTACTGTTTGGTCTATAAAATTTTAAAATAGACCTTTTGATTTTTGAAGTTTTGAAAATTTGTTTTAAATAATCCTCGAGCATCCTTTAACTTTAATTGACATGATTGAAAAATGATAGTGAGTGAACTTTTCTAACTTGGTATTTTTAAATGAGTTGTAAAAAGATTAATTTTTTCATAATTTTATTATCTAAGGTGGCATTTTCTTTATTATTCCTCTCTATATCTTTTTCTCATCTTCTTCTTTGATCTCCTTGTCTTCTTGCCACTACTCACACCCCACCATTCGAATGTCATTCTTGCCCATCAAAGAGTCTCGCTAGAGAGAGAAGTTTTTTCTCTCTCCGGTGGGCGACGACAGGCAATGACAATGACGATGGTAGACAACGGTGGACAGTGGCAAGAAGATGAGAAGAAGAGGGGATAAAGAAAGAAAGAGAATGAAGAAAGAAAATGGTACGTAGATAATAATATTATGTAAAAATTAATATCCTTTTACAACTCATTAAACTAGCAAGTTAGAAAAGTTCAACCACCTATCAATTTGCTAGGTCATTCTTTCGTTAAGTCGACTAATGATGAAAGGATGTTCAGGGATTATTTAAAATAATTCTTCAAATTTCAGACATCAAAAGTGTTTATTTTAAAACTTCAAATACCAAACAAATATATACTCCAAAACGTAAAGACCAAAAGTGTTTATTTTGAAACTTGAGGGACTAAATGAGAATACTTCAAATCACAAGGACCAATGACTAATACTCTACCAAAAGTGTATTTTTCCCCTTTTCCCATTTTTTTTAGTTCAATATACACCAATATAGCTTCTAGTGAGAATATGTATTTTTAACTGGTTAAATTAACCTAAGTTTTCTCATGTATTATACTCAAGTTAAACTACGAATTTACTTTTGTTTTTTTCTTTTCAAGGGAAAATATCAACTTTTACGGCTGAACTTAGTAGGATGTATTGATTTTCATTTGGAACTTTTTAATGTCATTGAGTGTGATTATTTTAACCCTATATTCAATTATTACTAAAACTCAGGCGCTAATTTTAACAATTAAAAAATGTAAAAATCTACTCATCAGTTTAAACAAAATTAAGCTTGGTTAATCTACATGCCCTTTCCTGTCTTCTCTCTTTTAAATGAGATACCAACTATAAAAATCAATATTTTAAATGGCAATAAGAATATGGAAGTCTAAATTTATAGAAATGTCGATGTCAATAGATATTTTAAATAAAAAAATTCATATCAAATAACAAATAAGTATTTTACTCTTTTTAAAGAAGTTAAAAATTACTACTATTAATTTTAGTGATGTTTGATTGATATTTTGTATATTTTAACAATTCTTCTGCCATACTATAGAAGTGTAGATTCACCCTTATGTCGATATCAAATCCATAAACTGATAGACATGAAAATATTGATGGAAATATCATGTCGGCGGAAATTTAATACCTAGCCTAAACCCACCCCAATTTAACATACCCATGTACAACTTCCTAAATCAAAATTTTGTAGTCTCTATAGGATTCTATGAGTTTTACCAAATTATATGGACGATAATGAATCTCAAAAAAGAATATTGAACGAATTTGCAAGCAAAAGTGCTGTTGACATTCCTCGCAGATCCCTAAGACAAGACAAAAAATGCACTATAATTGCAAAAAGCACTGCAAAAAGTACTTAACTCGTACAAATCAATGATGGCCACTTATCTTAGGAATTAATTCCTATATGTTTCCAGGCCACCGTAATCCCTTCTGGTTAAGACAATTGGGCAAGTGTTATATCGGATATGGACAAGGTTCCTGATTGATCAAAATCAAGATCCTCGAACTCCTTCAGCACAGGTGAAATGTCATCTTCAGTAATTTTCCCCATCTCTTTCAGCTTGTATATGACAAATTCTGCAGCCCTGTGGAAGAGTAAAAACGAAACAATAAGTGCCGACTTGAATGTAACTCAACTAGTCAATGTATTAGTAACAACAACAATGAAGATCATACAAACAGGAATACAGTTGAGAATTGCTTGAGACTTACCCGACGACCCCGTCGTCATCAATATCCGCTGCCTCGAGGTCTATGTCGGTCACCTTTCTACTTAGAACCCACTTTACCAATGACCTTTGTCTTCTTTCAGTGTTTAGCTCAGCAATGTAAAGGAAAAATTGTGCCAGAGTGATGGTACTTATCAAAATCCAGAAAATGGCGAACACACGCCCCCACCTGGTTGAGAAGCTTTTATCACCATAGCCTAGGGTGGTGATGGTAGAACATACACAATAAAATGCATCAATGAGATCTAACTTCTCAAGGGTAACTAGTAAGGTAGTCCCCGAAATGATGAAGAAAAGAAGAAGGAGAAACACCACTATACACTTGTTTCTAGCTTTATTAGTATCATATTCTTTTGTGGTGTCACAAGGGCCAGGATTTTGGTACGTATGCAAGGCATTAAATAGCATGATTTCCTGCTTCTCTACCAAATAGTCAGCTGCATTGCTTAGTATTAGACCAATAAGAGCCATTCCTGTGAAAACAAAAGAACAAGCCAGTAGCTTTGCACCGGGACTGTTCGGGACAAGATCTCCGTATCCAACGGTTGTCATTGTCACAATTGTGAAATAAATGGCATCAACTATTCCGTTTGTTTTTTCCCCTTTGATTTGGTTCCTGGCAAGGTAAAAACATAAAGTTCCTATACCCAAGTAGACTGTTAAAACTATGGCTACCCTTCTAAGACTCGGGTGTAGATTTCCAAAAACAAATCCTGAACGTGGAACTGAACCAGTGGCTGTGCCAGTGCACGTGCTGGTGGTCTCTGGAAGAGCGTAATCACCATGAGGAGCACTCTTAGAGCGCCTCAGTCGTCTTTTGCTTCTAGGAATATCTATTAACCTTGTTCTAGAAGTATTAGATGACGTTGATAGCAGTGGCTGTCTTGCTTCCTTGCTAGCCATTAAGATAATTCAACAAACTACCAATAAGAGGAACCTGCATAACCACAAAAATATTCAAAACCAAGTTACTCTGTTTAGTGGATGCATTCAAATAAAATCATATTCCTTGGCATTAAATTTCTGCCTTTATAGAAAACATGAAGTGCCATCAGTCAGTGAAGAATATGAACACGAAAAGAATAGTCTGAAGCTTCTACATTAAGTTAGGGAGACTAAAGGCCAACTTAACAAATGATACCATTTTCAGATAGTTGTCATTTCAGTTTCCAAAAATTTTCATTATCGAGTTCAACCTAAAATGACAGCTCCAGTTTTCCGTGACAACCAACTAGACATCAACCTTTGTATTAATCTGCCTCAAACTCAAACATAAAATCACTTCAAAGTATCAGCAAAATGAAATTCAATTCCAGATTCACTCTAAAATACTACAAAAGAAAACTTGACTATAGAATGAATAGGTGTCCCAAAATTCAAAATCTATCTTTCTCTAGTTTCCCCCTCCTGAACTTGTGTGTGTGTGTGGATATAAGAGATAAATTTCATTCCAAAAAAGGAGATACAACAAAATCCAAGGGGGCAAGGCATCTTTAAGCTGAATTTTCAAATCTTTAAGCTGCAAATGAGGGTGGACGCACCATATATGTATCTCTGCCTCACAGTTATGTATCACACTCTTCCAAGAACATACTATCTTAGCATCCAAGTCACTAGATCTTGAACTAGCAGAGAAGATGAGCGGCAATCTGTTAGAGTATTGCTAGGAATATATTCAGAATGTTATTAAGAAATTAGTTGCAGTATAATGGTAATTAATTGGTAGTTTATTAGAGTAAGTTAGGAGTGCAGAAGGTAAGGATTATTTTGAGGAATCGATCCATAGCGGCTAGATTGCGGCTAGATTTTAGGAGAGAGATAGCCCTCTCGAAAGGCTATTGATATATTGTAATTCCTTTTCAATATTGCAATTTAGTTTTTTGCTGTTTTCTTATAATCGGGATCCCGACACAATCAATTAAGGATACTAAACTTTAATTATCACCCGCTCTTTAATTATCACCTGCTTTCATTTTTGTCCATTTTTGTCCACGTATCTATACTAAAACTCAACCAATTTACTTGCCAAGGAATAGAATCTACTACGCTTAACATATTATATCAATCAACATACTTTACTACAACCATAACATATATACTCGTCAACATCTAACCGCAGCAGATAATCAAACAAACAATTTGTTTGGGGTGGTCTAGCATCAAGTTCAGAAAAAGTTAAGATAAAGGACAACTAGGAAAAATGGTTGTCACTAAATTCCAATTTCAGTGTTTAGTTCAGTTGAATTTTCAAGTACAATATGTCTTTTTCTACCTTGTGGTACCATGCACCGATTTCACAATCGTAACAACTTTCCAAAAAAAACAAAATATCTATATATAACATCCAAGTCAAGTCCATCCAAGAATCGCGCCAGGATGAGAAGCAGTTTGACGATTATAGACGTCAGCTATAGATCCAATCTAAAGTACTAATTTCAAACTTCATCCACTGTTACCATGATCTCTACATAAACCGTCTCCCATAGAACACAAATAATTCACAACAAAAAAGCTCCAGAATCGACACTATCAAACAGCGAAAAGGCCAAAAAAAAGCAATCACAGATAATAATTTGATCACGAAAACTTCAACAGTAATAAACTCACTAACTACGCCGTAGCAGAGCACTGACAAAAAAAGGAAAACTCAGAACTCAGAACTCAGAACTGATTTCATTGCTAATACGAAAAATTACGGCAAGATCTGAGAAGAAATTTGTACATGAGAAAGAAGGATGGAAGCTTACAGCAGATTAGCATTCGATTTGGAGAAGATTTGAGCTCCAGATGCTTCGAGTAGTAGTAAGTGTTTCGATTTCCTAAGCCTTTGGCTTTCGATTTCGTAATCGTTGTTTGAAAATTATGCTCTCTGAGATTTTTTCGGGCTGAATTCAGTTGAAGAATTGGCCAACGATGGTTTCTGGCAAACGCCTTCATCTCCATTTCCCACCGCGTGATGAGTTGAATTATTAAAAAATAATTATCGATTATTTCATAAGAATTAATAATAATAATATCCCAGCTTGGCGAACATGTTGCAGTAAAAAATAATAATAATAAAAATTAACAATAATGTTAATATTCGAGAAGCAAGTATAGTGATTCATCTGCTATGAAATAACAAATCTTATTTATTGAGTCTAAATTATTCCTAAAATGGGTTGGATTGATATTAGTCTGGATACAACAAAATAATTCTATTAGATCTAATGTATTTATCAGATCTAATAAGTACCTTGTGTCAAAATTGAGAAATTCTATGGTTCGAATCTTTAGTATTCTCTTATTTATTATCTGTGTCTACTATTTAGGCAGAATACCGCCACCTATTGTTACTAAGAAATTGAAAGAAACGGAGGAAAGGGGAGAAAGGAGGAAGAAATAGATGGAAATAGAAACCACTCCAAACAAAGGGGACTAAACAAGAACAAGAGGGATCCACCGAAGAAGAACTTCTCCTTCCTTTTCGAAAGAAAAGGAAGATCCGAACAAAATCGATGAAACTGAAGAGATCTGAGTAAATGGAAAGGAAAAAACACATGATGAATTCACTTTAAAAGGACACGCGGGTGTAAAAATAAGCTTGCCATGTAGAAAGTTAGGAAAGATCAATGTGTTAAAGCCTTTCTCCAGAACCTCGAAGATACGATGCAGTCAACCTCTACTTGGTCGAAAGATAACCAGTAAGCTCAATCAAACTCTACTTGGTCGAAGGTGACGTCATCTCTCCGATTTTAAGAATCTAACAAATCGACTATGTATAACTAATTCTCCGAAAGTTTAATTGAACAGTCGGATGTCTCTAGCTATTACTTGACTTCTTATAAATAGAAGTTTCACTTTGATCCTAGGTACGAAATCTAACATCCGCCTAAGATCATGATTGAATCATATTGTGCATCTTGATATTTTTGTTTGTGCCATAATCACATGGTCCGATTCCATTTTGGTTGATTTGGTAAATTACTAACTCCAAAAATTTATTTTGACATATGATATATGATTGCGAGTACCTTATCTGACTTTTTTTTTAATTATAATCTGACTTTAGACTGTTTACTTACAAAATTTTATAGTTTTAGGCGTCGTTTGTTTTTCAGGAATGTAGATGACCAGCATCTAGAGATGTTCGGAATTTCAAATGCTCAGAATGTTAGATGTCCGACATGTTTAGATAATTACGTTTGTTTCGTAAGAATATTTTTAAAGATATGCGGAAATATTTGAATAGCCACATTTGTTTTGCAGGATTTATTCTCACGAATATGTTAAATTTATAAAATGTTCCAAAATGATCTCACAAATATTATATAATTTGGGTATGGGAGTCTTTGGGCATTGCTTGGGCCGAGTCTTAACGCTCGACATGCAGTTAGCTCAAAACATGTTCATCATGTGGCCAAGCGAAGCGCACCTGCACCTGTCTTTGTGAAGGGTGAAGGTGAAGCAGCCAATTCCAATAGACTTATTGGAGGGTCCCATTGGCGGGTCCCATTGGCGTGCATCCAGTAGGAATTGAACCTACGAATTCGCCAATTATGAGTTGGGCTCTTTAACCATTCAGTCATGGATGCTTAGCGGTTTTTTCTTCCAATTTAGGGTATTCGTCACCCAGCTCACTACTCACAAGCCCCCAACAATAAATGTTTGCGTCCCTCGATCCTAGAGTGCGGTTAATCTGCTTATTCTAGTGAACAAAGAAACTCCATGGGTGGGGCCCAACAATCAAAAGAGGGCGGACTTGGTTCGCTACAGGGGGAGGCATCTACCTCATCCCGATCACAAGGAGAGGTTCACCATGATGGGGGGTAGTTCTTTTTTTTCCCTTCCGGAAAGAATGAAATGCATAGGGGACCATCCTTTTGTTGCGGCATGCTCCTGAGATTTACGGATTCGCAGRGGGCCTCAGGCCCTACTTAGTTGACTGACAATGACAAAGGCTTACGGGGGGCCAGTCCAAGATCGTATTGTTGCTCTACAAAGACAACAGACGCTGAACCCCCGCCCGCCCCGACGTGGAGTCGCAACTCTTCTTGTAGAAACCTCCGTAAGGGAACTGGAGCAGGCTACCATGAGACAAACAAAAGATCTTCTTTCTAAAGAGATTCGATTCGGAACTATTATATGTCCAAGATCCAATATTATTTCATTGAATTAATAATTTAGTCACTAAACTGTGTTATATCCAAGTTTGTAATGATTTAGTTTCTATGTAAAAAAATTTGTTAAATTTTTTATATATGTAGATCAATCAATGAGAAACCAAATGTGTTTATGAATTACAAAGACTAAATGGTTATATGATAAAAATCGACACTTAATTTTGATAGGATTTTTTACGGTAGGGACTAGATTGTTACAAATTTTAAACTATAAAAACTAAATTGTTATATACTAAAATTCAGGGACTCATTTTGTTACTTTAGAAAAATACTGAAGCCACATATGTTGTTTAACCTAATATTAATAAGAATTTTTAAACTTATTTAAGGAGGATAATCCTTATTTGAACCGCCAAATTTGTATTAACCACCCAACTATTTTGATGTTGCCATGTTGGCATTCAACAATAAGGGTTTAAATGGATAAAATTGAAATTAAAAATTTTCGTACTCTTTAAAATTACAATAAATTTATAAATATTTAATGCAAATGGGTCTTTTATGTCCATTTTTATTTTTTATTCAAACAAATGTAAAATGAAATTGCCCATATAAGAATGCAAATATCATACGTGGGCCAGCTCATTAAATTATATACCCAAAATCCTTTATCATTTTTATCCCCTTTTTAGTAAACACGTGGAGTTGTCAAAACGAGCTTAACTCAACGATAATTGACATATACCTCCAATCAAAAAGTTGTCGCGATTTCTCTCAACTACATAAGTATTTTTGTGGAGTCAGACTCCCTAGCAACCATCCGTCTAATTCAAGGGATTACGAACACTCTATGAGCTGAAAGGCCGTGGATTCAAAAAAAGAAGAAAAGGAAAATAAAAATAAAAATAAAAAACCTTGATGTGAGATCCAAAAAGAAATTAAAAAAAATTATTGTCGTTTAAATATATTATTGTTTCTTGCATTTTTTTTTAGTTATGACGTGGTATTCCTCATCCTCTAACAACTAAATCTTTAACACTTTTCAATAGAACATGACTCAATAAATAAAACATTTATTACATTCTATGAAATTAAAATGTCGGACATCTCTATATTTTTTGAATTTAAGATAAAAAAAAAAGAATCTGATTTTTTATATTAAAAATATAATGATACTTCTTGAGTTGATTTTTTAATTGAAAGTTTATCTTCCATCTCTACATTAGATTTTTTTAGTTGAAGGGTTATCTTCCATCTTTATATTTATTTATTGTTAAAAAATTGTTCTTCACACTAAAAATGTAACGATATCAAAGATTTGACTCGAAAGCAATCAAATAAATGCATAAAATATAAAGAAATAAACAAATCATTAGACTTTTTTAGAACAATATATGAGAATGGAGATTCAAACTCACGACATTGTGGTCCAAAATAGGTCTTAACCAAACTATACTCATGTTGGCTATAAATCAATATACTTTCTTAAATCCAAAAATTTATTATTATTAATTTTTTTTAGTACAACATGTGAGGGTGAGAGATCGAACTCACAACCTCTTGGTTTGAGATATATATCAATTATCGCTGAGTTATGATCGTTTTGACATCGAAAATTTAATGGCTCATTAATCGCAACATTTTGTAAAAGATTATAATATTACCCAAGCAAAAAAGAAAGTTATTTTTATTTTCTGAATAAGAAGTTGGTGTGGGACATTTGAAACTCTTTTTCTACTCAATTTAATTTTTTGCCCTTCCCTTTTCAAAAAGTTTTTGGTGTTTGTTGTTTGTTTGGTAAAGAGATCCACATTTCCAATTATTCCCACCAAAGGCCAAATAGAACTTTGGCACACCCATTTCATATATATCATCAAAAACTTCAAAATAAGTAAAAATAAAATAAAATAAAATTATGGAGAAGATAATTATAAAGTCAAAATCTATATTCCCTCAAAAAGAAAATGCCACTTGTCAACAATAGAACCCTTCTCCCTTCTCCACGTAATTATTTTTATTTTGTGGTTTAAATACTTTTTTTTATCTTTATACCCTCGATTCATTTTAATATTTGTATTTTTAAAGTTTTATTTTAATATTTATATTTTCAACTTTAGTTCATTTTAGTTAGTAATTTTGAGAGGTTCACTTTAGGACATGTACTTTATAAAAGTGACTATTTGGTCCTTCATTTTTATTTTATCTTATTTATTTCGGTCAAAATTTTAGAATGACATTCCATTCACTGAGTTATTTAAAATATAGTCATAAATTTGTATTGAAAAGTTTCTATCGTGTATAAAATTTGTGTTTAAATTTTACAAATAGATACTAAAATGGTCACTTTTTAAAAGTATAGGAGCCAAACGAACATTTTGAAAGTACATGAACTATAATAAACAAAAATCGAAAAATCATATTTTGTTAATTAAATGCATTCTTTAATTATGATTGGGAGTGATAAATTGTATAAAAAGTGATTTTATTTAGGAGAAGTGGTAGTGGTTATTAACATAAGCTTTCAAAGTTAATATTATGAGAAATTTGGGCATTTTGGGTAGAGGAAGTACTCATCATGGGAAAATGCTTAAACCTAAAGTCATTTTTTTTGCAACAAAGCCAACCACTATTTCCATCACTTGATTAAGTTTGCAACCAACTATAACCAATAACTCATATTTCTTTTTCTCTCTCTTGGCCACACACATCTCTCTCTTCCTTTCTCTCTCCGCTCAAAATCATTCCATTTAATTTGAAGGGGACGTGTGAATAAACGAGTCCAACTCTAAATTCTTCTGAAAAATATCAGTTAATGGAAAAGAACTAGAACTCTCGATTGAGTTCTTAA